CCCCCCCCCCCCCCCCCCCCCCCCCCCCCCCCCCCCCCCCCCCCCGACGTACCTCGTTGCTCTTGCTGAGATTGATGGCAACCCCGCCAAACTCGCTCAGTATCAGCGGTTGCCCCGAATACTTGTTTTCGCTCCCCACAAATCCAGGTCGGCCAGCTTTGGGCCCCAACACCGTGTCCAAGCTTGCGCACGTCCTTTTCAGTTCGGCATACTCTGCGTAGTCGTGAAAGGTGAACAGGTCGGTGGTGACGTGTTCCCAACCATCATTGTCCGAGATCAGTCTGGAAGGGTCGATGGACTTGATGTGGTGGTACAGTGCGGCGATATGGCTGCGATGCGTCTCAGACGTTTGCAGCTCCGGCACGCCCCAAGACTCGTTGATAGGAGTCCACACTACTACGCTAGGATGGTTGACGTCCCGCCTGATGCTGGCGGTGAATTCTTCCATGAAGCGCAACGAGTAGGTGGAAGAGTAGTCGTAAGCGTTTGCCGCTTCACCCCACACCAGGTAGCCAAGCCGGTCTGCCCAGTAGTGATAGTACTTCAATTAGAATTCATCACGTAAGCCCCAACAATCTTCGCGTGCGAGATGAGACGAAGGTGCTCACGGGATCTTCCACCTTCTGGTGCTTTCGAGCGCCGCTGGCGAATAGACGTCATGATCAGCAAGATTGCGATGCTGGCTAGTCCTGAACCAACACTCACTTCATCCCGATCGACTTCATCTTCTCGATATCCACCTGATAAAGGGTCAGCTTGTCGACCGGTCAGCCGAGTTTTCCTGCTCGAGAGTAACATTACGACGCACCTTGAGGGCTTCAGCCGTCGGTGGAGTCAGACCGCTGTCAGGCCAGTAGCCCTACGCAAGAGGTGAGCACCGTCAGTCAGCCGGCTTCGTGGGACTGGCGCTCCCTGTTGTACGCTCACCTGGTCAAGGTTCTGAGGAAGAGGGAGATCGAAAAGCATGTGATCTCTTCGAGTGAGCAATCCGTACAGATTGCGAGCTCTTCTGCAGTGCTCACCAAAGCCATGAAGTAAGGCTTGTTGTTTAAGCAGAAGCGTCCATCGATCACGCTGACCTTTCGCATTCCAGCATAGGTCCGTATGGTATCCAACACAATCGAATCGTTCTTCCTTTTTAGCCTGAGCGTAACATCGTACAGCGTCGGTGTCTCTGGGCTCCACAAGGCCATGCCATTCGTCCAAGCAAGTCGATGCACCTCGGGCGGAAAGGCCAAAGGTCCGCTCAAACTTGTGCGAGCCTTTTCGGGAGGCGAAGAAGCTGGAATGCGGACGCTGATCACCGCCGAAGCTTCAGATGTGCTCGAGCCGACAGTCACTGTCGAAGCGCTGATGGTCGTGCCTAGCAGCGAAACTTCCACTTCGAGCTGCCCTTCCAAACCTTTGTGCAGACCCAACGTCTCGGCTTGAACGCTCAGAGTGCCCGTGTCGATGTCTGGCACCAGCGTGAAATGCTCGATGCGGGCTCGAGGAACACGTTCCACCCAGACGCTTTGCCAGATACCTGCGGTCGATGAGAAGGAGAGATGCCGTGATGAGTCATGATTTTGGCTGTTGCGAGACAAGGTCTGTTCATTTGGCTGGCTGGCTCACCGGTGGTAGGATGGTAAAAGATGCTTTCTGGTTGAGCGCGCCAGTACTGCTTGCCACGAGGCTGGGTAAGGTCGTGTGGCGCGTCGCGAGCCCTCACTGTGACAGACGCGTGCGTCTTGTTGGCATCTTTGGCAGCTCGAAGCACGTCGGTTATGTCGGCGTGAAAGGGAACATGTCCACCTCGATGCTCCACCACCAACTCTCCCTCCATCCACACTTTCGTCTCGTAGTCCACCGCTCCGAAGTGCAGCAGCACCCTCTCTTCATCCCGTATCGCCTCTTCTACCAAGAGCTCTCGCATAGAAAATTGACGAGCGTACCACACCACTTCGCATGCTCTCTTATCGTTCAGACCCGAAGCTTGGGTCTGATGAGCAAAAGGAACAATGATCTGCTTGTCCAGAGCGGGATGGACAGCACCTTGCGCACCTCCTCTATTCCAGCGCTCATCAATGCCTCGATCCTTCTCGTCAAAGGCAAAGGCCCACGTGCCATTCAAGACTTTGTGAGGGTGATCTGGACGAATCCTGTCTGGTCTAGGGTACTCCGGGCGAGGAATGCCGGCCTTGTCGCTCATTGTACAGAGAGATGAGGGCTTGAGTCGTATGGTTGAGACTTGGATTCGGACGCTGATTGTTCTGCGGACGCTTGGCTGTGTCGCTGTATGCTCCTTGCTTGCATACCAGCTAGATGTTGTGATAGTTTAAAGCCTGGCTGTGCTGCAAGCGTTTCTAGTGCGCGAGATCGTGTTATAGTGTGCGAGGCGACCTGCAACGGCCTCGAGGTGAACAGTCACGAATCACGATCGCGAGTGTGAGTCTTTTGAAGGTCCGAGGTAAGAAGGCCCGCGCTGGCGCGGCGGTGTCATCTACCGCCCTAGCGTATAGCTGCAACCATGCAGGTGGAGGGCGACGCTGTGCGCTTCTCTCTGCTGCAACAGCACAACAATAATTGTGCACCATCACGAATCACGCGTGGAGACGCACGGATCACTATGCGTCACAGTCGCACAAACACGATTGCTGTGATTCGCGCTCTGACAGAGATGGCAACAGCGGCAGCACAGCGGCGCGCGCGCATCGAGGACAATGTGGACACGCGCGGATCTTGATGAATGTGAATTTCGGTGCGAAATTCAATCTCTAAGGAACACTGATGGAGCGCTTGCTAGATCATCTCGCACTTCGACGTCAGCAGACGATTCACACAAGCACAGCGGGCGCAACAGGGGGCGGCAAGGCGCCTTTGCAGCCCAGCCCAGCATGTACGCCAGCTAGGACGACGGCGATTGTAATCTCGCTTGTCGAGTGAGACCACGGGAGAGACAGGTGGCGCCACGCAAATGCTCGTGCTCCCAATCTTGAACGCGTCCAGCTTGATACGTTCGATCTATTACCTTCGAATGCTGTCGGATCGGGTAGCCAGAGAAGTGCGGCAAGGGTCAGGGGAGTGAGGTCTTCAGTACATGTGATGCGAGATCGAGATTCTTATCGTCAAATGCAGAACGGAGAAAGGAAGAGGTGGGCGAGATCGTAGGGATGGTGGGCTAGTATGGCCGCACGACGAAGACCGAAAGACCAAACAAAGGGATGTGCGGGCCAGTTGAGCCAAGGAAGTGTCGAGTATTTGTTCGCTCTTCTTACATGCCGCAATTTCCTGGCCACCCAAAGCACATTCGCGCGAGATTTGATGTCACCGCCGTTTCTAAGCTCTGCCGAAGCGGGGGAAGAGAGGGTTCGCCAAAGATCCTCGCTTAGCCCTTGTGGGTCTTGAAGGCGACCAGACCGCCTAGCGCAATAGCATAGCCGAAAATTTGCAGTCCTGTGATGGTGCTTCCCAAGAAGAAGACGGATGCGAGGATGAGCATGATGTCCTTGACGACGCCAGCCAGGGTGAGGGTGAGACTGCTAGCCGCTCCGATAAGGAAGACGGCGGCAATGTTGAGAGCAAATGCAACACCTGCGTTGGTGACGAGGACAAAAGGTCCGAGCCTAGAAATGTCCAAAAAGGGTGCCAGACCTTCGGTAAAGATCAATAGAGCCGTGTTGATGGCTGCGCAGACTGGCGCAAAGTAGTAGAGAGAGACTAGAGGATCCATCTTGAGACCTTGCAGCAGCACTTGGATCATGACCAATCGAGAACTCTCGAAAGCCACTGCAGCAACTTGATAGATGAAACCCTCCATCGCGAATTCGATCTCTCCGTATGAGGCGATGGCCACGCCGAACGAGATGGATCCGACAATTACGACCAGCATGCCGCTCAGCTGCTTGAGGCCAAAGGCGAACGAGATGAGCAGCACTGCAACAGGTGTAAAGGCCTTTCGTTTGAGAACGAGGGCTCGGCGTCAGTGCAAGCCGATCTGGGCGAGGTGCTTAAGAGGGCGAGAAGAGCTCACCTTGAGCATCTGGATGAAGCTGACACTGAGGGTCAAGTAAGCCATGTTGCTGGTGACCAGACTAGCAGAAAAGAGGGCACCAATGGGCAGAATGTTCTTGTACCATCTGTCGCTCGTCATTTCCACGTTTGCCAATCCGTCCAGCAGATGTGTGAATCGCGCCAGGAGACGAGTTCCCACAGTCGCAAACGCCATGTGGAAGGTAGTCAGGAAGACGGGGTAGGGAAAGTTGAGTCCTGCCTTGGTGTCCAAAACATACTACAGAGGAAAAGCGGTGATGCTGGAAGTCAGCCTGCAATTCTTGGCAGCATCGACTTTTCAAAGGGGCGCTACTCGGCATGGACCTGTAAACTTGCCAAACACTTCCGAGGAGCAGTTGCTCTTCAAGCATGCCCTAGCTTCACGCGAGGAGCTCGATACAAAGGCTGAGGGCGCCGCTCAGCATACGCCTCGCTCGCGGGGTCACCTAAGCGATTGCGGCGAGACAAGCTTAGGTCACCACAACTGGCTTGCAGGCCGGAACTGCAGCCAGCTCGAAACTGCCGATTCTAGGCCCCCTCAACTTATTTCTGCTTCCGCTTCTGTGAGTCTCTGATCCGCGTTACATCGAGCCGACCTATACTTGGAAACACCAAAACGGCTTCCGATACTCGTTGTAGCAGCAGCGGCACGACTGATACGCGGCAGCTCACCTTGTTGTACACTGCGGAAGATGGCGAAGCGAAGCTAAAATCGTCAGACGAGCGTGGCTTGCATTACCCTTCCTTCTGCCCTCGGTCTTGACTCACCGATCACACTGCTAGACAGAGCGATCCACAGACCAATGATCGCAACCGGGTGAATCTTCTTTTCTTGTTTAGCAGCTCCTCCGGGTAAGATTCCTCCACTGGAAGGATTGGGAGGACCTGAAACGCCCATACCGCTCGCGCCCGGTGTTCCGACTGAAGGCCTCAAACCGCCGTGTCCGTTGATCGGATCGTGCTTCTCGTCCCCAAGGGGAAGGGTCATGTGTTCCTTCGACATGATGAGCGGCGCTAAGGGTCGACGCGCGATAGCTTGCAGTGGTGGATGATCAGCTCAGACAGGCAAGATGAAGACAAAGAAGAGAGGCGATGCTTGAATGGCTGCAGCGTGGGGTTAGTGGTGGTGGTGGTAATGGTGGTGACGATGACACGCGGGTGTGGATGCGTGTAAGTTCGATTTTGGTCCAGATATAGAGGGGCAGGAAGAAGGGTTTGTGAGTACACGACTACCACAGCAGAACCTCCATTCGCGACTCTTGACTAGCATATATAGCACTAGCTGCTTGCCTGCCTTGCCCATGCAGGGAACCCATACTCGCGACTTTGACCGAGTTACAGCGCAGAGTAGGAATTTCCGGCAAAATTCACAGACCACACCTGCATGCATGCATCAGCCAGCATCCAGCAAAAGCAAGTATAGTAGTACAGGGTAGTCACAGAGTAGCTACCTACACACACAGCTCGCTTACCCTGTATATAGCTGCATGCTGCCGAGGTCAGACAGAGCAGGCCCCCTCGCGCGGCTCCAAAATCTTGAATCGTATCCGGGAGTTTTGGCTGCGCAGATGCATGCCCGTGCGCGTGCGCTTGATTCAAGATTGTGCTGAATCGAGAATAGAAAGGCAGCATCAGCGGTAGGACTATGCTTAGGCTCGCATGCATGCAGCGCGTCGACCCGCCTGTATATAGCGCAGCAGAATTCGACACGCCCCATGCATGCATGCGCCATCAAGTTCGGGCACACTCGCGAGTCTCAACATTCGTGATTCTCGCGCAATGAGAGTCTCAGCTGATTTGAAAATGGCTTGTTGAAACGCGTGTTCAGTAGTGCTAAAGCGGCAAAGCCATCAAGAATAATACGCAATCAGGTGAATCTTGGGGGTCTAAGCCGCGTCGGTCAGAGAAAATGATTTGCAATTTCGCACGCATCTCGCGCGTACAAAAGTCCAGAAAGTGTTTCAAATTCAAGGTCTCAGCTCGGTGCTGATGGGCCAGCTGCTGCTGGAGACATGCTGCATGGCCGTCATAGGCCGCGCGCATTCACGATTGCCTCGGGAAAATACACTTCGCTGCTTCCGAAAGTGTCCGCTGTTGCTGCTGTGCTCTTCCGACAAAGCGCGCGTGGTGTATGATTCGGAGACGCAAAAGAGGAAACGCAGTTGCGTGCGTGCGTGCGTGCGTGCGTGCGTGCATCCTGCATCGCGTTCTGTCCACAAGAATGACGCTAATCGGTCAATCCGCCACAACCCTTTATTTATGATCACCTCGACCTTGACTCCTCGAATAGAAACACTCGCGACACAGCCTGCTGGGAGTCAGTGAGTGTGAGTGCGAGGAGCACAAGGGCGGAACAAGGGCAAAGGCCTTTGCTGAGTGGCCGCGACGAGAGGATACCTCTCAGAGTCAAAGTGAGCATAAAGCTCAAATGTCGAACGTCGAATCGTGAATGGATGGCATAGCAAAGAACTTTCTCGACCTAGCTGAACGATAGCGAAATCGAAATGCAGCCAGCAGCATGATAGAAGGATTCATGATTCCTTTGATGATACAGCCATTCGACGACGGATGTCCATACACACACATGTACCTTTAGCGATAAAGCGCATGCTGGTCGTGCATCAATTGAGCAATCAAGTCAGGGTCTGATTTGGTTTCGGACACGTGCCCTTCTTTACTGGTCTCATGGCCTGTGTGTACGCTGCGACTCAAGACTTGATATTCTTTCCTTCGGCGTTGTGACTTCGAGGGGGCACTCGTTCGCTCGCATGCCCGTGCGCAGGCTCTCAATCTACATCGCAAGTCAAGAAAGATGATCGAGGCCAGACGGCATATGCGCTAGCTGGTGTCCTTTGTCGATTCACGATTCGCAACTTGCTGCAAGTCCGCGGCAGCCCCCGCCCAAAAGTGTCCGCGCGGGCGGGAACTTATCGCGCACCTCTTTCTCATCCAAGCGGTGCTTCACAACGCAATCAATCAAGCGAATCCTTATCGTCGCTCAAGCCCGCGGCACTGACCGGAGACGGCCAAGTTGGAGCAGTGTCAGACCGATGATGCCCAGCACGCAGAAGGAGCAGTGAACAATCATGGACCCCCCCCCCCCCCCCCCCCCCCCCCCCCCCTCCTTTCACCACTTTCCCTCTCGCTTTCACAATCAGAAGCGAGAGTGACAGGGCTTGGACTCTGAGCTCGATTCGGCGCCAAGTCCAATCTACTATTCACGATTTGGCTTTCAGCAACCTGCGACGCTCACAACAGGCGCTGCTCAGCTGCACTCAAGGCCGTGTTGCACCTCTGTCCGCAGGGCGCAATTCTCTCTTATCGCTGCTTCGAATCCGCTCGTCTAAAGTGCTGCAACCATCGGCGATGTCGTTCGTTCTGGGTTGAGTCATTTGGGAAGCGCGCCTGACAATCACGCTTGCCAGACCAAGACGACGCAGTCGGATGTCATGTCCGTACTTGTATCAAGATTTCAGATGGAAGGCGCAGTATCGCGATGGGATTTGTGGTAGGCCACGTTCAGCTTACTCGCACCAAATCATTCGCGCGAAGGCTCGAGTATACAGAATGTCTGCTGTGCAAACGTCGCGCTCATCCCGTCGACATGTCTACATCTTCTCCTCCTTTCGAATCTTTCGTTAAGGCCTTTGACTCATCCTCTGCACCAGCAGCGCCAGTATCAGCTTGACCAGTCTCTGTCTGCCGCTCTCCTTTCTCCTTCGGCGACGCATCTTCATCGCCCTTCTGAGCTTGCGCCTGACTGTCCACTTCGATCTCAGCTCCCTGTTTTCCATCCGCCTTCTTGTCGCCTTCATCCGCAGTTGCGGTTGTAGACGCTGGTGTCGCACTCTTCTCAGGCTCCGGCGAGCTTTTAGGAACTTGCGGAACGTAGACCGGAACGGGTTCATTGGTGTCTTGTGCCTCGTCCGCGGTGCTTTTCCCTACTTTCTGCTCATCGACCAGGCGCATGAGCGTGGTAATGTCATCGACGCGTATAGTGGACGTTAGCAGGTCGAGGTGCTGTCTGCTTGCCAGTCGCAGAGCTTTCCAAGCCAATGTTCTCCTCTTGTCCTCGATGGAACTCAGCAACGCATCTTTGCCCTCTATAGCCACCCTTGCCGTTTCCTCTTTCGACAGCTTGTCCACCTTTCCCCTCTCCTCGGCATTCTTTGGCAGAAGCGCTGACGGATCAGGCAGATCTTGTGGCGCTTCTCCCCATCCTAGCTGTTTTCTCCTCTTACTAGCATTGGCTTCTTGAGCCCGGACAAGCTTGGCATAGCCTTGCAACGTAGGTATGCGCAGCGGCATTTCCAGGTCGCCGAGTCCGTCATCCTCAACTTGCTCGCCATCAATGTCGCGTGTGCTTGGCTTTGGAGGTTCTAGCCCTTCCTCCCACAGATGGCTAAGCGCAGCGGTCCCGATCGAATGAGGATAGCTTGAAAGAGACTTGAGGAGGGGTTGGGAAGCTTTGGCGTACTCGATGATCTTTTCTGTACTCAAGGGAGCCAAGTCGATGGGCGGACAATTGTCTGCCTTCCACAGTACCCATCGAGACTCTCGCTTGAGCGTCTGAAGTACCGAATCGGAAAAGGTCTTGCCTTCAGGTGGAATCGCTTTGAGCTGAGCGATGATTTCTCGCCAGCAGCTCCTGATCCACCCGTCCTATCAAGTTGGCAGAAACTTTGATCAGCGACTGCAGAGAGTGATGGACTTTCACTTAACAGTCTCCAGGCACTCACATCCGCATCATCCAGCACAAACGTGATGGTCTGCAGCTGTTTGTTCTTCCAATCTTTCCACTTTTCCCTTTGTGTAGGCGTGAAAGAGAGCAGATATTGAAAGAGAATGAGCCACTGAACCAGCACGTGTCTTCTGAAGTTGGGATCTTTCAGCTTCAAGAGGCCCGGCATCTAGGTCAGCAATCCGAGCATCAGCGACGCGAACAGACGAGTTGCCCACCCACTTCGTATTCCAGCAAATTCCTGCCAGTAAGATACTTTGGAAAGAAGTTCTTGCGAGTCTCAGGCAATGCTGGTGGAATCCCATCTTCGTCTGTCTGCATGGCATCTCCATCCTGTTGCTCCTTAGCATTCTCGCTTCTCTGCAGGCCAAAGTCCGCTCCAGCTTCAATCCTCCCATCCTTCAAATTCGTTCCGCCTAAAGAGCGTTTCGCATTCTCTTCCTCTTCTTTTCTTCTCGCAGCGTTTCTTGCCGCCTCGCTCTCGCTTCCCTTCGCACCAGCAAGTATCTTTTCCCGCTTGGCAGCCGCAGCAAACACTTTGAGCGTCAATTTCGTCGCTATCCTCAAGCCGGACATGGGGCCTTTGGATCCGTCCGGTGCAGGATCTTCTGCACCTTCGGGTACCGGAAATTGGAGACGGCTATCGGCGTCGAAGAGCAAAGAAGGATTGCTGAAGATGCTTTGCAACGACCAAAAAGTCGAGTAAAATTCTGGTGACGAACAGATTGCGGAGAGACCTTCGGTCGTGTTGAGATCCATCGAGGCTATCGAGGCTATAGAGGACTCCGCTTTAATTGCACCTTGCGCTTCCTCCGCCTTTGCTTCTACGCCATCATCTTCACCTTGCATATCTTCCTTCTCATCTTGAGCCTTTCCCTCCTTGATCTGCGCCGGTAAAGGCTCAATTAGCGTCTTGTTGTCCGTGTTGAAATCGCCGCGCAAGTTCACTCCGCTCCTCTCCCCTAGAGGAAATACAGCTGACAATGTGCTCAAGACTCTTCCAGCAAAGATGGTCTGCTCTCTCGAAGGCTTAGCAAGCCTTCTCAAGAGATCATTGCACAATCTAAGCAGTGTCAAGCCTTTGCCTTTGGAAGGTGACAATCCCACTGTCAATTGATCCAGACGCGACTCCATGTATGAGAAGAGTAAGGAGCAGCTCTTGATGGGCAGCGCTTCAAATGCTTCTTCGAGGATTTGAAGAGGGAGGGAAGCGTCCACAAGGTCTTTTGGGGACCCCACCAAATCGCAAAGTATCAGCGTCGCCATCAAGCTTTTTAGGCCTGTAAGCCCGACAACGCCGTCTTGTGGTTGACTCACCCGCATCTACAAAGGCAAGCACCACGTCCAGTCTATCCGAAAGAGCTCTGGCTGAATCTGACGAAAGCTCCACTGGCCCCTTCACAGAAGCCATCCAGCACGTCATGGATGGCGCATCAGCATTCTACTCGTGATGCGCATAATGCGCATGTCCCTAGCGAGCTCCCTGCTCACCTGATCGCTGTGCACCACCCTTGATCTCTTTTTCGGTCTTTCCTGGTCCAGCTCTTGCTTTTGCAGAGTAGATTGATTGGCGGGCACCTGGTCTAGCACCTCTGTTCTCAGCAAAGCTCCCACGTTCTCTTTCAAGCTCAATCGCAACCTCTCTCCTCCACTGATTGCCGACGTCTTCTTTGCTTTGGTATCGGAGGCGGTCCCGGCATCTTCGACGACTTGCTCCTCAGGAGGTAGAATGCCTCGGATGCGCGTTGCTAGATCTGAGACGATCGGAGCGAGGAGTGACTTGGCAGTGCGAGAGCTCGGTATCGATGCTGGTGAGTTGCTGGAGCTTGCGCTTGGTGTGGATGTCGAGGTGGATGTCGGTGCGGACGAGGAAACAGAGGCGGCCGAAAGTTGCTGTACCAAGCCGACGAGGGAAGAAGCGACCAGCTGGCTGATCTGTCGCGCTTGCATCATTCCTTCCGCGCTCGACACTTGCGCACCCAAGCCAGCCCCTTGTGATGTCGACATGGTATGATGGCGACACCGACCAAAGGTTTCCGAGCGTGCCAATGGTCGAAGCAGCGCAGCAGATCGGCGCTGCCAAAGCTTCTCAAAATCGACACCGTGCCGCCGTCCTAATTGAGCTCGCGGCGGTCAGTCTGGTAGGTGAGCACAGGAGGAAGAGGGGAGAGACGGTGGTAATGTTGACCTCCTCTTTGGCAGACGAAGGTGCTGCATGGCGGATTCCTGAATGACTTGACGCGAGGACGGATTCATAGTATCGAAGGTCACGTGACACGCCCACTCGCAAGACTCAAGACTAACAATCAAAATCATTCACGATTGAATAATTCATCAGATTTCACTGAAGTCTTTTGAGTCTCATCAGGCCGCCGGGAGAAACGCTTCTTGTCGACATCAGCTCGCGGAAGGGTTCAGGCCGGAACTGACTGTCATCAGGCCGTCAGCAGCTCCTCCTCCGCACCAAGCTCTTACGAGTGATCTATAACTGCTACTGACAAATGCTGCTGAGTGACACGTCCAATGTCATGGATGTAGATAGATGCGCGAAGGCAATCGTCGTTGATACAAATACAACACACGACGTGGCTTGACTCAAGACTCGAATTGGACAGCTTGACAGCCACCGAGATGAGTGCATATAGGCGACTAGAGAGGTAGGCGAACGAGGTGGTTTTGTGTGCGCAACGAGAAACTCGCCTACGCAAGCGCACTCAAGACTCCTCATCTCTTGCCAAACCCAGCAAATCCCATCTGGTTCATCATTTCCTCATCCCCGCCTCCACTCAAGCCCTTTTCCTCTTTCTCCATCCTCTTCTTCAACTCCTTCTTCTTGACCCGCCTTGCCTCTTTCTCCATCCTCTGCTGCTTCGCAATCGCTTCTATCCTCGCCTCGAAATCGTACGTCGTGCCCTTTGCTGCTCCACCCGCTGCCTCCCTCTCGGCTCGGATGAGCATGATGCGTGCTCTCACTTGAGCCACGCTGGATCGAGCTACTTGGGTCGTCTGACCAATCCTGCGCAAATCTGTCTCGTCGCGTGGAGCAGCAGAGCGAGCCAGCAAGCACCAAAGCGCATGTAAGCAGTCCGATCAGCTCCTCAACTCCACCATGCATGCTTGGATGGATAGCTTTACTTACGCATACGTCCGTTGATGTGGTCCAAGTATCCTATACTGTCTTTGCACGTCCTCTTGCACACATCGCAGTAGTACCCAGGTCCACCCCTTCTTCCATCCCCAAGCACATCCACCATCTGACTCTTTCCCACATCCTTGTCCAACTCCAACGCCTCTTTTCGCGCCTGTAACAGTTCCGTAGGTTTGGGCAAGTCCTCTTTACGCTTGAACGTGGGCTTCTTGCCTGTGCGAGAGTGCGCGACCAGATCAAGCGTCGCACGGCGAGGGAAAGGGTCAGGGAAAGATGAGGATAAAGAGGCGACAAGACTGGACTCACCCTGCTGTATCCTCTGTTCATTCTCTTTAGCCCTCTCACGATCTTCTTCATCCCTAGCCTTGGCCCTATTCTCAAACTCCTCCTTGTCCCAGCGTCTCCTACTAGGTCCTACACCAGACCCTCCAGCAGCCGTGCCGCTCGCGATGCCCGACATGACTAACAGCAAGCTCACGACGCTATTCGCTTGTTGGATGGCCTCTAGCAGACGGACGCGCTCGAGTGGACTCAGAATGCGTGGGCGTGCTTGAATGCGCTCGTGGCAGAGTGTACTCCAGTTAGCCTGGTCTTGCGCCGCGAGGTTGAAGGGTGAAAAGGTTCTTGGGAAAGCCAAGCTACGATTGAGCAGATGGAATCTGATCGACTGAGAGGGCTGGCACTGACATTTGAGTGATCAGTGTACGGTGCGTGTGTGAGCAGTCAGAGTCTTGAGTCTTGAGTCTCTTGATCGTCTTGGCCTTGAATTTCGACTCTTGTGTGGGGATGAGCCTGTTGTGTATGTGCAGTAAGAGGGTCGTGAGTCACGAGCGTAAGGCAAGTCCGTGTCACGTGACATATATTCCTCAAAATAATTTTGGTATTGTGAATTTCTTGACTTGATTCGTGATTTTGACTGCAACTCGTCAATTGGAGACTCTTTCTGTGATTTAGGGATCGAAGCGACATACGAGCCATTCACCACCCACCGCTCGCCAACGGAGCCAAGGTTGGATGCCACTTGAGAACATTCCAGCGCAGCTTCTCACGTTTGGTCTTCGTTGCCTCCGACTTATCATCACTCATCGTGGAAGTCTAAGTCTTTCACGAAGCCGAGAAGATCACTTGAAACGAGCATGTCGACGCTTGCTAGGCCACTGGATGCACCTTCGACATCTCGAGTGGGTGCTGCAAATGCAACAGCGGCAGCTCTTGCGGCAAAGCGTGCTCAGCAAAGCGCTTCATTGGCAGTACCTCACAATGAAAATGCGGGGCATCAAAGCTCGGGGATGAAAGGTGCGCCCTCGAAGGCTAGGACCGAAGCTAGCATCACCTCCTTTACGCAGCTGGGTCTATCCGCGCGCCTAGAGCGAGCTCTATCTGCCTTGCGCATCACCGTGCCGACGCCTATTCAAGCCTCAGCTTTACCTTCTATCTTTTCCTCCTCGGACATCATAGCCGGTTCCCCCACCGGTTCCGGCAAGACCCTCGCATTCGCACTTCCCATTCTCTCTTCGCTCGAGAAAGATCTGATAGCAGGTGCAGCAGTCATCCTAACGCCCACTCGAGAATTGGCTCAACAGCTCTACGAACAGATCGTCGCTGTCGCGACGGGCGCTGCGCTGGGTGTCAATGTGGCCCTTGTGCTGGGCGGTCAGGATATGATGAGACAGGCTCAGCTGCTCAATCAGAGACCTAACATCGTCGTCGCCACCCCCGGAAGATTGGCTGACTTGCTTGGCAATGCAGATCACCAAGCTCTTAGCAGGTGCAAATACGTCGTGAGTAAAGGCAGCGCGATAGGTATCGCTCCTTGTTCTTCAGCCACGTTGATGCCTGCGATGCGTCCGCCTTCGCTGCCTTGCTTCACAGGTGCTAGACGAAGCAGATAGACTTCTCACGCCCACATTCAGCGACGCGCTCTCCACAATCTTTTCCGCTCTTCCGCCCTCGTCTATGCGTCAGACGCTGCTGTTCTCAGCAACGCTGACCCCAGCCATCGAAGCGCTAGCTACAAAGCCTCGTTCAGCAGAAGAGAGGCCAGTTCGGGTATGCAGGATAGAAGGCCCAACCAGCACGCCTCCTCAGCTGGTGCAAAAGTACATCTTTGTACCTAGTCACGTGAGGGAACCATACCTCTATCACTTGTTGCTCAATGCGCCTTGTCCTAGTCGATCGAAAGGCGACGGTCGATCAAAATGGGAGGAAGAAGAAGCAAGTGGTATGGGCGAAGAGGACGAGGATGATTTGGAGAGCAAGGTGGTTCCTACAATCATCTTCGTCTCTCGCTGCCGAACCGCAGCTCTTCTTTGTCGCATGTTGGAAGAGCTTGGCATTCCGAGCACGACGTTGCATTCACATCTGCTCCAATCCGATCGGACAGCCAATCTGCAATCTTTTCGAGCTCGCAAGATTCCCATACTCATCACGACGGATGTGGGCTCGCGAGGATTGGACGTGCCAGAGGTGGAGTTGGTGGTGAATTGGGATCTGCCTAGAGATTGGAGAGATTACGTGCATAGGGTCGGTAGGACGGCTAGAGCTGGACGAGAAGGAAGCGCAGTGAGCTTTGTAGGAGAGAGGGACGTGGAGCTGCTCAAGGGCATAGAACAAAACATCCGTGAGTCAGCTCGCTGCGTTTCCCCGAAAGCAGTCATGAAACCGAGGCGGCCTCTTTTCGACACATGCGCGCATCTTGACGGATCCCTGGCTGACTGATCGATGTGCATGCTCTTCTTATTTGCAGACGTCGAAATGACGGAGCACTCCATGCCGGAGGAAAAGGTGCTCGAGAGGCTCAATGCAGTGTCCACGGCCAAGCGGATCGCCAATCTGGTAAGTTTCCTGCATCTTGTCGCGTTGCATCCTCCTCTCCCAGCTTGCTCGCAATGTAATCTCATCAATGTTTGCATTTCCGCTCACATTCAACTTCGCGCAATTCTCCTTTTCCTCCTGGTTCGAAAGGAGCTGCACGATACCAAATTTGGAGCTAGACAGGAACACAACAAGAAGAAGGCGGCAGAGAGGGTAAAGATTGAAGAAAAGGGTCGCAGACGCAAAAAGTCAAAAGCGCCGAAAAGCGCTTCTTGAGAGGTGTCGAGCGTAGTCTAGTGCTCGCGCCCAACCAGCCAAATTTGAACCTCATCACTTGCCGAAAAGCCCTGCTTGTATACCAGCTCGCGCACCAGTCACGAGAGCAGCACGCGAATGTCGAGGGAATCGAGTGCCTAGTTGCAATGTGATTGTGTTGTAGCATCTCCAAATGCTAACGAGCTCGGAGCTAATGAGATGAAGTATCATTTACAATCTGACGATGCTATGAGGAAAGGTATGATGAATCAGGGTTGCTACGTTCTAGAAGCGTCATGCAGGTACCATGCACAAGCATCAGGTGTCTCGTTGGGAAAAGAAAATGCTCGGGGACACCGGTTGGCAGTGCGAGTAAGACCACCGAGGGTTTTCTCAGACGCACTGGTGATACGTCGACGAGCGCGGAAGGGGGAGCCGCTCACAGCTCAGAGGCATCGCGTCGCGACATGTCTCGATGTTCCTGCAGGGCGTGAGGGGACGCCAGATCAGCACCTACGCTCCATCATACCAGGCCAACGCTTTGCACATCTCACCTCGGCAAGCATAGCTTCGAGCGCATCGGACGTGTCTTGCTGCTCTCTGCTACCGCGATCCCCAGCTTGGGGCAGGCCGAGAGGTCTGGGCGGACTGGCTCGACCTCTCGTAGCAGGACCTCCTCCCACAGCATCAGTGACCGATCGACGCTGAGCCTCTGCAATCTGCGCCGCTTCGCGTGCTCTCTCATCTACCGCCGTTCCTTCTTGCGCCCTTCTGCGTCTGCGACGACGAGGTAGCGTGATGAATTTCGGAAGCACTCGACTGTCCAGGTCCAGGGCGACGTTGGTCGAGGCTGCGTGTTGAAGCGGGCGGCGTCCGTCAGAAGTCGATGCTCCAATGCGCATGTGTCTCGCAGACACTCACCTTGGAAAGCTTCGATCCACTCCACGACGTGCCGGTCGTTGCGCGTCTGGAGGAGGAACTGTTCGCCCTCTACGCGTACACGCACCACGTGTCGTCGCTTGAGATAGTCCGCTGCCAAGCCGCTCTCGGCGTTCTGCAGCGTATAATTGCGCACAGCGTTATGCTTGCTCAGATCACTAGCGCTGGCACTCGCGCTGCTGATCGCGTGTTGGCTGCCAAAAGGTCGATTATTGATCACGAGTTCGACGGCGTGGTTCAAGCCGCTGGTGCCATGTACGCCACTGGTGCTGCGCTCATTCATAACGCTGCTCGTCCCATTGCTGGAGCGCTTCTCGTCTCCATTTGGAGCTGGACTGCCATTCTGCCCCGCTGCGGGGGCAACTTCGTTCATGGGCTCCTTGTGCACGTGAGCGCCGTCCATCTCACCCCAAGCACCCTTGCTTGCGTAACCCGCTGCAGAGAGATCGGTCTTGAAGAGCTTCAGACTAGTACCGTGCAGCACAAAATAGTAGCGCCTCCAGCTTCGATCCTTTGCCTGAACGCCGGGAGCTGAAAACTCCATCTTGCGCGGCAAGTAACCTTCGATGTGTACGCCACAAAAGTAAGAGGGGAGGCTCTCCTTGCCCTCCTCTTCGCGCGGCATGATGAGCTGCTTTCCTTCCGGTCTTTCGTGGATGATCGAGTAAGGTGGAGGTTCCTTACCGACCTCGAACATTGATTGCCGTCGGCGCATGCCTTGAGCGTCCGGCGCGTCCTTGCCTGGGAAGGGTGGAGGAGCCAGCGTGGCGCCGCCCTGTTGGGACGGGGAAGGAGAAGCTCGACCAGTGAAAAGACCGGGCGATGCAGGGAAGCTGGGCGGTGGCGTAGGTCTAATCGCCTCACGCCTCGAGCTCGCACTCAGATCCACAAGTGACTGGGACTTTTGAGAGTACAGGCCGGGACGCGAAGCACCTGTAGCACTCGCAGAAGGGCCGACAGAGGCGAATGCATTAGCCCTAGGACTTGTGGGCGTTCCAGCGTTGCGAGAAGCTGGAGATGCTTCACGACTTGCGTCCGGCTTTTTGGCCAGGCCGGCAGGGATGCTCAGCGATGCAGAGCTTCCAGAGGAAGTAACGGGTCTACGGAAAGAGCTGCCTCGAATGGAAGCCGGTTGACCATCCGCTCCCGTGCGCGAAGCTGGGGCACCAGTTCCCAATGCGATCGTATTCGTCGGATGCGAGGGCTGGTGCCCAGTTGATGGCTGTCTGGCCCGGGGAGTAGACGAAAGAGGATAACGTTGTCCAGGCGACTGGTCTCTGGGCTTTGGAGTGGAAGATTGAGGATTTGATGGGCCATTCGCAGGGTGTGCAGGGTCCTTGGCACGGGGTGTAGACGAGAGAGGATGCGGCGCGCCGTTCACCGGTGGCAAAGCTGATGTGTCGCGACTAGGTGTCCCGACAACGGCGCTCTGGCCAGACCTGGTGGTGCGCACGCTCGCACTGGATGGTGCCCTAGATCTTGAAATTATGGAAGGAGAAGGCGGCGGTACGTCGGAGCCTGTTGGTGGTCGAGCACCCGTGGCAAGGCGAGGCTGAGCAGGGCGTTGCGAAAAGTATGAATCGTTGGTGGTAACGACATTCAAGGCTCTCGCGAGCGGCGTCGAGCTGACTGGCGTGCGGCCCGTTAGGGTGCGGGGAGTCTCGAGGGGTGAGAATTCGGCGAAACGCGTCCAGTTCTGACGATTCGAGGTGTCGACGCTTTGCGCGTCCCTCGAGATCGAGTTGGCGAGAGACTGGTCAAACCTCTGAGCGGGAGGCAGAGCTATACCAGCGGGAGGTGAAACCCGAGCGAGCGTAGCGGCGGTTACGGGCATAGACCCAGGCATCGTCGGCGAAGGCGAACGCTCATGATCTGATTCATCTTCCGCATCCGTCTCGGATTCTGCCTCTTCAGTCTCTTCCGCCTCCGACCCACTGGGCGCATGATCATCCTCAGAGTCATCTTCGCTGTCGTCACCAGCATCCCCGCCTTCCTGGCTTTGTCTTCGTCCATCGTCGTCGTTGCCATCGCCCCCAGCACCACCATCTGGTGGCGCGCTGCCATTTCCAGATCCATTTGGCTGGGTGTTGCGATTAAGTCGCATCGAGTCGAGCCGAGGAAGATGAGACAATCGTCCGCGACCAGCGGGCTGCCGGGCAGGTGTGCTCGCAGTAGGAGATTCACCACTTGCAGCTCTGTAGGTCGCTCCCTGCGCAGTGACCTCACCTTCCCTCGACGAGGCATTAGAATCCTGGCCAGATCGAGCATCGAGCGCAGCTTGCTCCTGATCGACGCCGAGCGCTGTAGGCCTTTGCTGGTGAAGCGCGCTTTGCTCGTCCGCCACGCTCAGCGCCGAGCCAAGTGGCTGTCTGCTGTCGACCGCTACCTTATCAAAGATGCCCACACGGCTCGGTTCAGCGCTGATCATCCGACCGCCATCTGAGCCGGACCGAGCGCATGGTGGTGCTGCGGCATGAGTGGAAGCCGAGGTGTGGTCCGTGCTACCCGACAAGGCAGAAGCTCTATCAGAGGGAGACGTAGCAGGTGAAGCGACAGGTGCAGGCATTCCGGTGATCATGCCAGAGCGCCCGTCGCGACCGCTTGATGGCGCAAGTGACGGCCTCCTTTCTCCTAGTGGCCCTTCATCCTCTCGCTGCATTCTTGTATGCGCATGCATGGGGGGCGTCACAAAATTCGATTGTGCAGACACATTCCTAGTGCGTGCTGGCATCCCGAACGCGGTAGAGAAGACTCGTGTAGCCTCCTCTGTCTGCTCTAGAGTGGGTGAAGCCTGTCCCGACGAATCACCCAAAGCGAAGGGAGGATGAAAGGCGGACTGGGGTTCCGTGTATCTAGGTGACGAAGAGCCGCTTGAGCGTGCCGATTGCCCATTCTTGGCCATGCTGCCTTTCTTGCGAAAAATGCCCTTAACAGAGGCCACGCTTGCTCTTCTGGGTGTACTGCTGCATGGCCCTCCCTCGGCGTCGCTACCGTCTTCCAGTGCTGTCTGAAGGTTGTCGCGCGACCGACCGAACCAAGAAGCGGCGCTCCCGCGGCGTGGAGCGGCCGTCGAGACCTCGCTGGAAGTACGCCTATCGAAGCTGCGCAAGAAGGAGAAACTAGACCTCGAGCGCGATGCGTGAGGCGAGTTGCGAGACGCGACGGTCTGATCCGATGCGTGATAGTCTGTAGGAGAGCTCAAGCGTTCCGTTTCGGCTTCGTCACCATCCAGATCCGAGGGGTCGATCTGTGCAGCGCCTGGCGTGTGCAAAAGCTCCGGTGATCCCACGGCGGCACTCGTTGGCAGCCTGCCCGGCACCGAATTGACAACGGCCACGTTCGATTTGACGTGCGCGTCTCCTCGCAAAGCGCTGCTGCCCAGTGCAGGCTTCAGGGACGCATAATTTGGCGCCACATGTACCTGATCCGCCTCTCGGCCCGCTACCAGCTCCAGCAATGATGGCCTCCGGGATGAGTGTGACATCTCGGCTGGATCGGCGTGCAAGTCTGGTATCGCAGAGCCAGTGGCGTCGGTCTGTGGCGCTGTCACACTATTTGGATGAAAAGGAGCTGTCGAGCTAAGCAGCGCTGAACTGGAGATCTGACCGTTCAAACTGCCGGCGCCGCGCGGAGCAAGGATCGTTTCGTCGGCAGAGCGGCGTGAGGGTGAAGGCGTGCTCGAAATCACCCGAGATTGCTCGTTAGATGGACGCGTGGGCGTGCGATCATCTGGAGCTGAATAGCGGACGGCCGTGCAGTGGTTGTGAACGTGAATGATTTGTTTGCGAATCGTCGGGCGCCATCGAAGTCGGACCAAGTCAGGACCATGCAGGAGAGTTGATTGTTTGAATCGCGATTGTTGATCGGGAGCGATTGCCGAAACGAGAGCAAACAAGCAGGTGATGAGTGGCAGAGGGTGCGGTTAGGTGGTGATGACCCACGAGACGGCCCAGAACAGTCGAGCCGCCGCGTCGTAGAGACGCGCGTTGAGGCAAATTGGACCGCAAAGCCGAATAAAGACAGGTCGCGTGCCCGAATAAACGCGATGCAGGGCGTGTGCATGCAGCAGTAAGCAGCGCGCCAGATTTGTTCATGCGAGCGGCAGAGCGGCGAGGTAGCGAGAGCGATCGATCCACCGAGCGGGGAAGCAGCAAAGAGCGGGATGTATGCGCCGAGCCAGAAAGGCGCACATCAGCAAAAGGGCAATCGCAAACGATACGATGTTCGAGAGCAAGGTCGTCGTGCAGCGCGATGCGGAGATGTCGGAGTTTCGTCGTGGTACCAGCGCGCGGCCGAAGAGAAGTCCGCGATCCACGATTGCAAGACGGAGAGATTGGTGGGAGCGACGGCCAAATCAGACAATGGTGAATTGCGAATGTCGAGGCCGGGGCGACGAGATAAATGTGGGGCAGGGATATGGGGAGAGGTTCGCATCAGACGTGAGTCAGCAAGCAGCGAATGGAGACACGCAAGCTGTAGAACGAACAGGCCATCTTGATTGGGATGGGCCATGGCGCCACAGCGAGCCAAGGTTCACGATTGCTTGGCGTGGACAGTCAGCCGCAAAGGTGCACGCGGCGCCCACCCCACCCACTGGCTTTCACACCTGGATTACAAGAATCTGCAGCAGGCAAACGACGATGCCTGTCCCCGACCACTCACCGCACGACGCATACACGGATTGAGTTGTAGCTATCTGCGCTTCCTCCGACGCGCATTCAATCGGTGTTGCGCTCGCTGCAACTGCTTCTGCCGATGACCGGCTTCTCGTAGGGCTCGAAGGCAGCGAGAAAGTGACGTTGGGCTGAGGAATCGTGCCGGCAGGAACTGCCAAGGGGTGTAAAGGCAGACCACTCGAGGTCGAGCGCACGTGCCGGCTGCTACGCGACGATTGCTGAGGAGAGGTGGGAGTTGAAGGCCCAGCATCGATGGAGAATGACGAGCTTGCCCTGGCGCTGTTCTGCGCTGTCCGCGCGGAGGTTGCAGAACTTGGCGAAGTTGCGGATGTGGGGCTGATGAGCTTGCCCTGCACTGCGCGTGCGATGTTTGGGATGGAGATGGCTCGCAGCATCGCTGCTTTGGCTTTGCCTTTCGAGAGAGAGTCTGCATTGGAATCTGCGCCGAGTGCAGTCTCGTAGCATGGAGGCGTCTCTGTACCCTCAGAGCCATTCGAGCGACTAGCTGCCTCTCCCGATCTCCGATCAGCGTGCGTCGGATTCGTAGCCGCCGGAGAACCTTGGGTCTTGTTGAGAGTAGAGACTGTCCGCAGCAACCGACTCCTTTCTCGCTCCGTCATCACCACATTGTTCGCAGTGCGTCGAGCCCATCCACCCACATCCTCACTCTGCTGCAAAGAGCTCATGTTGGCCGGCTCCGAAGCAGCTTCTTGTCGTGCAGAAGAGCTGCTATTTCGTCGAGCTTCACTGCCCTTCCTGACCATGCCCTGAGCGCCTGCTCCGCCAGCCGCGAACTGCTGCGGTGGCTGCGCGAATGCCATGGCGTGCTGCGAATGCTGCGAAGCTGGTGGAGCGCAGATGAGCGCGAAGAATTCCTGCGACGTTCGAGTAGGGATGCGTTGTTTGTTGCCTCTGTGTTGTTGCTGCTGCAAGATCGTCAAGTCGAGTAGAGAGCGGAAATGAACTTCGTTTCAGAGAAATGAGGTTGAGGAAGCCATGATGAAACGGCGTCGATGTTTGAGTGGGCTTCGATGTGCGCACTCTGACTGCTAGCTGCAGTCAGTCAGTCAGTGATGCGGAGAGAGGCTCTTTGGCCGGTGAGGCGGCAGAGTGTGAACAGGTTGTGTACTGCAGAAGGGCGAGAAGATCTCGTTCAGGGTGCTGCGATCTAACAACGCGGCAGATGAGAGTGTCGCGGTGATCAACCCTGCCAACCTGCAGCTGATGTTGAGCAAGGATGTGGAGCCCGGGGCGTCATAAGCTGGCAGATCATGTGAGCACGCGGCAGCGATTAGCTCGGAGTTACAACTGCCCTTTCGGCTCAACAATACCCTCAAAATTGTGACTTGCTGGATGATTCAAGGCGAGCACGACGGCAAGCAAGCAATCTTGAATGCGAATACACTGTGACTCTTGAATGCAGCCTTTGTGCCGAAGAGCCCTGAATTCATTCCCGCATCTGCATGGCCGGCGGCCGATCGCAAATGCTGGGTGGTTTCATCCAATTAAGCAGCAGCCATGACCGTCGCAGCACAGGTACAGTAGCGCGATAGATGCTGAGACGCTAGCAACCCCCACAGGGTCATGCAATGGCAAATTTAATCACGAATCGATTGTGATAATTGCTGCATGGGTCGCTGAATTCGCATGCAGCAGCGCAGCGCCGCCACATCACCGCTGAAACCACATCAACACGCCGGCGAATAGACGGCATGTCATATGATGCAGCGCGCGGATGCATCATCGATGCATCGATCGAGACGATGCGCGCGCAGTCAGCCCATTCGTGGTCTAAACTCACGCCGCTTAAGCATCGAGAGGGACTTTGCGACTCGCAAGTCGTGCTTTCATGATGTCTCAAGAGTGGCAGTGTGGATGGGAATCAGCTGAGGACGCTGCTATGCTGAGTACATAGCCGCTTCCTCTCCCTCATTCACAGCTTTGGCGGAAAGCAAAGTTGGATGAACACGTGAGGTCGAGCCTGCATGCCCAAATGGGAAAGGGCTTGCGCTCTCCACCACAACGCGATGCACGCTAAAAGATGACGTATCGCACTCCGCAGCCGGCGGGCGGACCGCTTTTGCTGGTGCTAGCGCACACTTGGTCGTGACTGGCCTTCTCAGTCTCCCTCATCCACAATTGAAGATTCTTAATTTCAACCCTCGTCACTCGTAAATTGTGCATGTACCTACAGGCGACGCTGGTGGAGAAGCGCGCAGTGGTATTCGTGATTGGACCGCAAGGACAAATGGAGCCTGGCTGCTTAAGCGAGAGTCGTGGGTACGTCGTTGGCGTTTCTGTAGGGTACTGCCTTACTGCTCAACAACCCTTTGAGGAGGCTGGGAGGTTACAGTAAGGCACACGGCACATGAACTCGCTGTGGCGTGTCTGCTGCACGGAGCAAGATGCCGATTGCCAGCCAGCAAATTTCAAATTCATTCAGATCGGCAGCTGCGGACAGAGTAGCCTGGTCGCCGTGCGTTCATTAGCATCCGGGCGCTCTCTTCTGCTCACCAACGCCGTGTCATCGGATGGAGAGCCGACGCGGCTTCCAATCATAAGGTTTAGAGACGAGAGACGACCTTGACTCCGCCCCTTCCCCGCTCCCAACGCCGAAGAAGAGTGACCTCAACAATTTGTGAACGTGAATAAAGCTCATCACCACTTCCACTTGAACCAGGGGCTCTGGTGTTATGACGCCGGCCGACGCAACTCGCTGCAAAGCTTGCGCCACACGCCCTAGAAGCGAGCTCTGCTGAACGCCGGTGCTCTTACTCTTTACTATATGAGCATCGTGGCTCTCCAGCATGCTCGACCGTAATCCACTCGTGTCAATGACGTCGCTGGCTGCAACGCAGGGACCGCTTGCAAGTACTCACAACCATGCTAGCTTACATGTAGTCTTTGTGATTCAAGCCACATGCCATGGTCGGCAAATTATGGAGACCGGCAAGCTTGGCGGCTGCATGGGGGGGCAGTTCATGAGCCTGCAGGATCTAAAATCTCGCTTACCATTGAACGCTTTGAGACGATGATGTCGCTTGCTGGCGCCAGAAGATGCGGACTGGCCGGACGCGGCGATTGCTGATGGGGCTGCATTCACCATCGCTTCGGATCTAGGATAAGGACACTCCGATAGGTTCGGCTGCGTGACGTCCGAATGTTCCTGCTGCCGAACCACGATGGTCAATGTGCAATCACGAATAGTCTTGAGTCACGAGTAGCTCATTCTGCACTGGAGAGAGTGCTGGTAGACTGCGGCAACTCATCAGGAACAGGACATGATCCAAGAGGTGAAAGCAAATGAACACGGCGGGATCATACGATGTTTGTCTGCATCATCTGTGGCTTCGGATCCAAGCATGCGGATCTTGAATCAGGTGTGTGGAGGTGTGCGCGAACCTCGGTCCGATCTTCAATCCTTTCTTGATCCCCGTTGTCGTCGCACGCTAGTCGTACATCACACCTACACGACGACGAGAGCACTCAGAGTCACAGTGCGATCACGCGTGGCCAACGGGGCTTTTCACAATGTATGCTTATACACAGCGCAGTCATTTTGATTCTTGTACCATCGTGAGTAGACGCCAAAATAGGATCAAAAGTCACATCGGGTACGTGAATCGAAGAGCAACACTGCCAGGCATGCTCGACGTGTGGGCAAATGTCCGGACGCGATTCACCACACGGAGGAGTACTTTGGTAGGCTCGAGAGAGCGGAGATTCTCCTCAGACTGCAGGTGATCAGGACCGAGTGCTACTACTACTACTCTCGAAGGAGAACTTGGCGAACGTCGACTGGGTCGCTTGGCTGAGCGGTCCACATGTCATCACACCGACACGCCATTTCTGACCGCTCGCTTCGCACGAGGCCTCGTCTTGAAATGTCGCTGGCTGAACAAATCCTCTGATCTCGCGAATCTGCACGAGCTCAGAGGCTTGAGGTCGAAGAGGCAACTCTGACGCTTGTTGAACTGCCTCAGAGTATGCGATCGACACGCTCAGATCAGGTCCATGTCTGGTCACCTGAACGTAGAGCCAATTCTGCTTCGAGAGCCCGACGGATGGCTTGGAAGGTGCGGTAGACCAATCAGAGTAGGGATTGGCAACAACGCAGCTATCGGGTGCATATCAGGTGTCTCGTCGTCAGATTGATTGCCCAGTACCATTGCACGCGACGAGACAGAAACTTCTTAGACCACCCGCTCACCCGACATTTTCCCGTCCCTCGTCAAATTCGACGCCTGCTTTCGTCCAGCTCGTGCTAGGCTCTCCGATGGTCTCACCAGCGTGGACGAACAGAGCAGCCTGCTTGAACCTTGCAAGACGGCGAGGAGCAGGTTTGAGCTGGCGTTCGTCCGTCGCGCCTTTGCCCATGCTGTACGCATTCCACAACTCACCTCTCATCCATCCCACACTGCATCCATACGCCCGCTGTCCAATTGGCCTCGCCGTCATCCACAGCGAGAGTGAGCGTAGGCCCCGTCCTCGCATTGACATTGTCAAGTGGCTGAGAACCTTTTGGCGTCCTCCACCAATCACTCGACCCTTTAGCAGTGAGATTGATCAAGTCTGCGCTGGCATCTCGCAGCTCTGCTGCTCCCAGCAAGCTCCACTTCTCAGAATCGAAGTCGACTTGCGCAGGATAATTGATGATGGACATGGTGCTGGCAGCGTTCAATCGTCAACGCAATGGCATGATCGTGACGGTAGAGCTGGAGAATCTAAATGCCGAAAAGAAAGCCAGGCGGGGCTTCGCGCTCTCTCAAGTGAGATTTGCATCATGCGCGACTGGGCACAGGCAAGCAGGACGCCGGAGTCGGCCCGATGAGCGGGGACCGCGACTGGTGCAGCCCGCTCTTCAAGGTGGACCTTTCTTGTGATGCACGCATGATCCAGAAGCCTGAGGGCGTTTGGACACACACACACACACACACGCACGCACAAGCAGTCCCCATGACGGCCGAACGACTCGCCCGATGGGCTTGATTGTAGATCACAAGCACAACTGGGCACAAGCGCGTTCAAAGACATGCACATTCTGCTAACAGCAAGAATATCTGAGGGGTCTTGCGTAGGGCGATCAAAATCGGCACGAGCATCTCAGAGCTTGGACTCGACGCCAGACAGAGGCAGGGAGGGGTAAAGAGAGCTGGTCAAGAACTCGCTGGGAGACTTTTGTCTGAGGTCATTCTTGATGAATTGCTCAGCAATATCCAAGCTCCTGGAGCCCTTGAGCTTAGCCTTCTCCTCGGCCAAGACTTGGTCCACGTATTGGTTGGTGATGAGCTGACCATCGTTGGTGGACTTGCCGTGGTACACCCAAGACCAGAGCAGGTAGCGGGATACTTCTCCTGTAGCAGCATCTTCCATGCTGTAGTTGACTGCCTTGCAGCCCAAGCCGTCGAGCCAGCTCTGGCAGTAGATGAGCAGAGCCTCGACGTTCTGCTGGACACCGCCTCGGGTGATAGCGCCTTCGACGACAGGGTTGAGCAGATCAACAGCAGTGGTAGTGACTTCATCACGACGGATGTGGTACTGGTTGGGACCCAGCATGTGTTTGTTGAAGACCTCGAGCGCGACAGAGACCAGTGCAGGGTGTGCGACCCAAGTTCCATCGTGCCCCTTCGTGACCTCGCGAAGCTTGTCAGCGCGGACCTTGTCCATAGCAGCATCGTTACGAGCCTTGTCATCCTTGATGGGAATAGTTGCGGCCATACCACCGATGGCAGCGACGTGTCGGTTATGGCAAGTCTTGATGAGCAGGTCCACATACGCGTTCATAAATGGAGCGGTCATGGTGACGTTGGCACGGTCAGGCAAAACAGCTGCCTTGTTGTAGCGCTGGCGCTTGATGAACGAGAAGATGTAGTCCCATCGACCGCAGTTGAGACCGGAGGAGTGATCGCGCAGCTCAAAGAGGATCTCGTCCATCTCGAAGACAGCAGTGATTGTCTCGATCAAGACCGTTCCTCGGATAGTGCCACGAGGGATGGAGATGTAGTCTTGCGCCAAGTTGAAGGCGTCATTCCATAGGCGTGCCTCGAGATGAGACTCCATCTTGGGCAGGTAGAAGTAAGGGCCGTAGCCAATTCGTACAAGCTCCTTGGCGTTGTGGAAGAAGTGGAGACCAAAGTCAAAGAGGGATCCGGAGATGGGTCTGCCATCAACTAGGAAGTGCTCCTCGTTCAGGTGCCAGCCACGAGGGCGGACGATCAGGGTGGCAGTCTGGCCGACGGGCTTCAATTTGTACTCTTTGTTGTTGGAAGACTGCTTGAAGTCAATCTTGCGGTAGGTAGCGAGGTTCATGTTGACCTGGCCATCAATCATGTTAGCCCAGGTGGGAGACGAAGCGTCCTCGAAGTCAGCCATGAAGGTGTAGGCACTGCGACAGGCCGAGTCAGCAAAGACGTTTTACATGTCAGTAAGAAATGCTGGTCCAGCTTGGATTGGGAAGGTCAAACAAAAGGGCGCGATCGCAACAGCTGGCTTTTGCCCTGCCAACACATAAAGCGCGCTTCCAGCGCGCCATTCATCGAGCTCACTAGCACGCTATCCCAAAGCGCCGACGCCCTTTGCGCCTCCAGATTGGAGCTCAAGTGATCCTTACTCACCCGCTGTTCAGAGCATTGATGACCATCTTCCTGTCAACCGGGCCAGTGATCTCGACACGCCTGTCACGGAGGCCAGGGGCGGGAGGGGCGCATTTCCAGGTCTTGTCCTCACGAATGTGAGCAGTGTGAGGCAGGAAATTGGGTAGTTGGCCAGCATCAAACCCTTGCTGACGCAGGACGCGATTCTGCAACAAGCGAATTCGGCGCTCGTCGAAGGATCGGTGGAGCAAAGCCAAAAACTTGACGGCATCGGGAGTCAAGATTCGCTTGTGCTCCTCCTTGAGAGGGCCTGATGAGAAGAGTGACACAGAAGGGGAATATGCACGTCAGCCCATCCGCGCCGCAAGTGAGAACCCCTTGTTTCAGAGTGCCTGCCGATAGGAACGCCTTGCGCCATAGCTCTCGCGGCGAGCCGCCGGTTCCTCGATATTGGTTTCGGAATGAAACAGGCACGCAGGCAGCGTCTGCCGGACTCGACCTCTCTTGTCTCGGCGCCAGGGGTGCCGCATGCCTTTCGTGATGTCCGGCACCGCAATAATATGGATACGGGACCCTCAACGTCCCGAAGGCGAAGACGCTCGCGAGCACGTTTCCACAGCAGCATGAATGTAAGGCGTACTCACCAGTGATACGAACGCCCTCAACTCCTGACATGGTGAAAAGCTGAGCAAGGGTGTACGAGGGTGACTGATAGGTGGTGGGCGTGTAACAATCAACAGTGCGCGATCTATTAGATACGGACAGCTAATTTCTGATCGCGGGCGGGGTTGTGGAAAGAAGACGTGTGAAATAAAGTTGCTTGGCAGGGTAGATATATATATATATATATTCGGTCAGAGGTCTCCCGCAGTGGCAGGGCGACACCCCACCGGTTCAGCGACAAGTCCACATTTCACATTTCACGTTCGATGAGGGCGCGCATGATGATGCTCGACGAGCCGAGCTGCCTGAGCGCTGCCTGGCTGCCAGACCGCACACATGTTGGGCGGGCGATCGGGAATGCCGGAACCCGCCGCCATGAGAGCTCTACGCCTTTGGCGAGATGATCCGAGCGCAGGGCAGTGCAGGGCAACGCGGGGAGCGGCGAACGAGAGGCGGGCGAACCCTCTGCTGCTTCACCCTGCTTGGCCCTTGGCCCCTGCGCGCTTGCTGCTTGGTGACTTTGTCGAGCACAAGCTCGGGCACAAGACAGGCAGCTTGCTCTCATCGCCACGCTAATCAAAAATACTTCGTCGAGTGTAATCATTCATTCACATTACGATTCGTGATTGTGGCGAAGCTCTGAAGACGCTGTGTCAGGTGAGCCTTTGAGCACCCAGATTGCCCCAGCTCGTCCGGACAGGCTGGTGAATGCTGGCGGGCGACGCGCGGACACCAGTCAATTTTGAGTCACGAATGAGTATCATTTCGGCACGACCGGCTTTGGTTTCAGCCACGCGAGACATGTACGCCTCGAGCACATGAATCCACAATCGAAATCGACTCTTGAATGGCAAAGCCACACGAGCTTGAACTGGAGAGCGCTGGAGGTTTGTCAAAAGGTTGCTTACATCTGAAATTCAATCCATGTCAGTAACCGCGCGAGGTCTCAGAATTGAAAGCCTTCTCAACAAAAGCTCGATCCGAAGAGGTCGTCGGGAGCTCGTTATGTGCCTCGGACGCTGTGGTATTTGTGCTTGATCCCTCGGGCGGGCCGCGAGCACCGGGCAATGCGGGATGACGCAGGCGCTTCGACCAAGCAGCCGGGATCACACGTGGCTATGGCCACGTCCGCCTATCCCGTGATCGCGATAGATAAATCCAAGATTCGAGAATATTCTTGCTCTGCCGGGCGTGGTGCGCCAAGGTCTGCTGGGCGACAAGGATAAATCAAGAGGGGAGCTGCAGTCAAACTTCGGCAGAATGAATCCTCGCCCTTCATCATCCTTGCTTTGAGGCAACCAAAAGTGCGATCGATCAAGGTGGAAGCTGTGGGGAGGTCGTCCATCGACGTGCGACGGATGCGCTCGATCCTGAAGCGACGCCTCAGACGCAAGGGGTCAGGTGAAAACGCGCGCGGAGAAAGGCGCGCGCGCTTGGCCCCTTGCCAGGCGCGAGCGAAAGATTATTCAAAATCATTCAAAGTTTCATCGGGCGTGACTCGTGAGTTTGGCATTCAATATTCGATTTGAGTCGCAGTGCGAGCCTGACACCACCTCCTGGCAGATCCGCTTGACCTGCTGATGCTGTTATTCTTGATCATTGTTGTGGTGCACCAAGTGGGCCTCTTGACCTTTGAGCCTCGGCCCTCGAATTCGCTATGGCCGACCCCTGGTCTCACGTGCTTAGCCGCCAGCCGCCAGCCGTTGCGCAGCAATCGCGACATGCTCGAGAGGTCAACGGTGCGAGGGCAAGGCGTAACGCCAAGATCTGAGGGGTGCCCTGCCCACGCATACAGTCGTGGGTACATGTAGCTTGCTCACGCCTTACCTACCGAGCTCGAGCCCGAGATGTCTCGTCGGCCAAGTGACAAGCTTATTTATGAATAGAGAGACGCTCGTACACGCAAAGTCGACTTGCGGTCTCGGGCTGAGAAGGCGGCCGTGCGCCCGACGCTAAGCGGCCGGTGTTCCTTACACACGCGCGCACATGCCCCGGCTGTATAGCTGTGCTGCGCTACTGCATGCCTGCACAGCATGCATGCACAAGGGATCTTGCCTCGCATGACCGTCTCGTTTGCGAGCTCCACGCCTCACTCACACTCACCACTCACGACTGCACGCGCACCGGTGTTTTAATCCCTAATGTCGGATGCAGTCAGAGTCGCGAGTGCAGGTGCAGGTACCTACGCACGTCGTAAACATCACGAGCCCAACACTCACAGTGACATCACCTTTCGATTATCGCAAGGGGCTTTCATCCGACCTGCGTGTCATGTCAAAATACTCTGCTCTCGACGTCATACGAAGCCTATCTAATCATCCTGTCGCGCGCGATTGACAACAAAGGGGAGCGGGTTGGCCCCCTTCCTGTAGCTAACCCCCTCCTCCTCCTTGGCGCCATGGCTCGATGCATGCACCCTCCTTTCTCCAACCGTTGGAACCGATGTGCGGACAGGATTGCAAGGAACGCCGAATACTCTACCGGCCTCCGAGTCCAAAGTAGCGGACGAGCCTCAACGGTCGGCGTGCAGTTGTTTAGCGCGAGAAAACGTAGACACCCTGCTACGCTACCCAGAACAGGCTCTTAGGATTTGGATCCGCTGTGACAAAGTGGCTTCACGGGCCAGGTAGGCCATTGCCCCTTTCACACTCAGACTGTGTGTCTGGCACAGCTCTGACCATGTGCGCCCTCGCCTGTTCAATGACGTGCTGGCCGACCTCGACCGCCCAGCTTTGAGCTCCCCCGGCGAATTCTTTCTGTTACGGTTCAACTGTTCGGTCATGGCCCTCTCAAGGCGTACTGTAGAGACACAAGAGACTAACAGGCGCTTCGATCCCAGGCCGAGCAAGCTTCGATCTTGACTATCTGGCCCTAAATCCTCTTGCGGTCAAATCTGCGTAGGAACGGTCGGCACCCTTTCAACGGTCGAGCCGTTAGACCCTGGCTTGAAAGGCGTGTTGCTCTGTCCTGCTCTGCCCGCTGTCCGCTGCCCTGCGCATGCCTATGCTTTCCCTCTGAGACACTCACCCACCTGTGCGGCACCACCGGCTCGCCAGCCGAACTTCCAAGTTTCCGTCATGCCTCCTTCTTCTCTCACTCTACCTCCATCTATCTCTTCTATTTGACTCTTATACGGGCATCCACCACCGCCACTTGCACATTCCGTCAGGTCTCAACACCGACGGAATCTCATTTTATGGTCAAGGCTCAAAAACCAATCCTCTACGTTGAACAACATCGTCGATAAGCCGCGACGATTCCTGTGGCGCTTGCCGTACACCCAGGTCTGCTCACTCTGCAACAGCTTGCAACCCCGACGCGCATTACCCGCGCGCGCGACTGTTGTGGCTGGCGGAGAATCGTGCCCGCCCCGCCACCCAACCGATCGGAACATTTCAATCCGCTCTGCAAGTCAACAGCGAGACGCTCTTTAGAGGTCACATTTTACGGCCTCACGTCACTACCTGAGGGTTCGGGATACTGCACTAGCATCGACATCCCCTCTCCAAGCAGCTCGATGCAAGAGCCTGCCATTTAGGTCGCTTGAAACACTCTGAGACACGAACTCTTGCCGCCGTTCATTTTCCTAGCGTTCATTGTCACTGCGAGTCAGTGCTTCAATATCGATACATACTACAGGACGGTACATCGATATTCCAACATTTTCGACGACCATCTCACGAGTAGAGCCAAAGCGCTGTCTCTCTTCAGGCTCCTTTTGAGGGAGCTGACCCCCCAACAGCGTCACGATCATGCCCTCGGGTCACGTCAACCCGAAGGCCTCGCTGCATAGCATCACGCAACAGCCGGCAGCTGGGAGCGCTGGTGTGGAGACCAGGAGCTTCTCTGACAGTAGTCGACAAGCATCTCGATCATCCCCAGATCACAACGGTAACGGAACAGCTGCCAGGAGTCGACGCCCAAGTATCAGCGCCTTTGCAGCTGCGATGACGGTACGTTGCGCTGCTCTTCATACTTACTGTTGAGCCGCACTGATCAAAGCTCGGGATGTTGCCCTTCAATAGCCTTCTTCTCCCACGTCGCGGATGCGAGCGAAGTTTTCCAACGTTCACGGACACTTGCCTTCGGTGAACGTCGGCGGAGGCGACGACAATGTGGCACCCGCCCCTCCTTCAGGCGTTCTCTTCCCATACACACCGATGTCCAGCTTGCCTTCTTCAGCCGTGATGCAAGTAGGTCCGCAAAGTGCTGGGGGGAACCGACGACCCGGCCTTCTTTCCCCCGGTCCTTCACACTTTGAGAAGATCCTTGCGGACAGAGCCGCGGCTTCGAAACACAAACACACCAATAGTGTGGACAGTGACAATGCTTCGCTCGCGAGCTTTGGCTGCGAGGGTGCCGTGGAGTTTGACCGACAGTACCGCAACATCACGAATGCCGACTTGGATCCCGGGGTTCGTGAAAGATTTCTTGACGGCATTTTCATGAAGCTCACATCTAGGGCAGGCAAGAGCGGCTCCCAGTCACGCACCTCGCCCGGCTCCGCGAAAGGAAGACAAGGAAAGGTTCGCGCTCTCAAGCCTCACTTTCTGGATCTCACAGCAATCATCAACCCGGTACCACGAGATCAGCGCGATACCAGTGTGCAGACACCCAGCTCGACATCCAGCACTTCCACGAGTGATTCACCCGTAAGCTGGGATGCCGATGTCCCTCAAGGTGTCTCGCCGACGGGTTCCACACCTCTTTTACGTTCTCGACGAAGTGCAGAGTCGCTTGCTGATGGCCGCCGTAGACGCAAGCAGAGCTGGTTCGGTGCAAATGTGGCCGGCGTGCCGCCCACCTCAGCAGACATGCGCGTCACGCAGAGCGCGCAAGAATACTCGTCGAGCTCACACGTGCCGACGCTGCCCGAGTGGGCCAAAAAGTCCAACATGTCGCGCTGCGACTTGCCAAAGAGCCAACTTGACGAGCCTCTGAGCCCTATCAGTCCCTTGGCTCGCAGCGCGCAGAGCAATAGCCAGTCTGCGTACCAGCCGAAGGACACTTCCACCATTCGTGGCCCTCGAGCACATGGCAAGGTCTCCGGAAGCCACTCGCGCGCTCGATCAATTCACGATGCATTGATAAGCGCCAATGTAGCACCGTCGCTTGATGCCAACAACGTCGCCATGACACGTGCCGCCAGCTACGACGTCACTTCTGGCAACAGTGCACCGGCGCGCGGGTCTCAGCTCAAGCAGGAGCCCATGAACCATCTGCACAGCTTAATGCATCTCGATGGTCCGCTTCAGCCCGGTGTGGTCGTGCCCCGCAGCGGTCTTCCGTCCTCGCGTTCGTCGCCAAAGAAGGACTCGCGCAGAGGCGACGAAAATGTCAGCCCGAATGCGGGTAGGCACTCGCCGACCAAATGCAGAGATCAGGGAGCTGCCCCGTTCGCGCCGATCTCCAACGTGCACATGCAGCGAGGCGCTTCGGTGAATGAGCGACAGTATAGCAAGATTCAGAGCTCTCCGCCAAAAGTGACAGCCGTCCAACGTCAAGGAGCGGTCTCGCGCGGCTCACGCGGCTCTTTGAGCTCAGCGACGAGCGCGGAAGGTAGCATGCCACCAACGCCAGTGCGGAACTATGCCGAGCTTCCGCCCCTGAACGATGCCTCCACTTACGTCCGGGAAGGCTCTCTGCAGAAGCTTTACGAGTATTCGATTCCAGACAAACGAACAGAGCAACATGCGCAACACAGGCGTGGCTATTCGCGCGAACACATTGCAATCCAGTCTTCTCCGGTCAAGAGGCAGTCACATGCTCGACATGGCTCCGACACTACTCCTCGGCCCGTGAGATCGCGCGTCCTTCGCTCAGGCTCGGTCGTGCGCGAGGCGCCTACTCCTCATGTTGCATTGGCTTCACTCGAGAGTCCCACTCGCCAGAAGACTCCAGTCACGACCTTACAGAGCACCCTCAAGTCATCCCCCACCAGGGACCTTGGGCAGCCGGCTGCTTTTGCAGATGCAAACGCTCTGCACCAGCTTGGATGGACGGTGACTCAAGTTGGGCATGATCAGGCACCTGCGCCTCGCCTACAGGTGGCGAGACCTCGCGCTGCGACAGTATCATCTTCTGCTGCATCCGGATGTCACTACGGGTCTGAGGCCAACGGAGCCATGCGACAGCTTTCGCCGAAGGATGCCCAAATCTCGGGACAGGCCGAAGTACCCAGACGTCCACCGAACGAGCCCCTGCCTGCATTGCCCAAGCCGGAAGAGCACAGTCGAATCTCGTACTTGAGCACCACTTCCACCGACAGTCAATCCTCGAATTCTACCGCGGGTCTTTCGAATCACTATACTTACGGTTTGGGCCCGACCTCCATGGCCAAGTCTACAGGTGCGGCAGCGAGCGATTCGCCAGCCAGCAGCGACGGAAGCAACGCTAGTCCCCAAAGTCGCTCCAGAAGGCAGAACGCGTCTTCGAGAGGTGCGGAGTGGGCTAGCCAAATCGGCAGGACACTGTTCCACAAGCCATCGTTTTCACGCACCGTGGTCGATGGAGACGTGGAGGAGGGCCACCGTCAGGCCAGCAGCTTCACCGAAAGTCGCTTCCTGGCGCCTTTCGAGCAGCGCGCTTAGTTCGTAGCTTGCTCCCGCCTCGCGTCAAATCTCTCCTAGCTACCCCTGACCCCAAATCAAGCCTATGATCCTGATTCGCTCAGTCTACTGTACGATCTCAGCTCCATCATCTGTACCCATCGTACGCCAACAAAGCTTACCACTCATCGGTCTCTGCACTACTCTGTACTGCCTCTTCCAGCCTATCTGTACCGTGCAGTTCCCATTTCTGATCCCCACGGGGACGACCCCCACAACACGCTCTCTGCTGATCCACCGCATCTTCTCACCGATCACGCGCCGCTTGGCGAATTCGGCATACACTCATTATCTCCGATCCCTTCATCATTATCACATCGACTCCAAGGCCGGACTGCCATGCCTCACTTGTAGCATAGACGCACAAAGCAGCACTTCATCTGCTTCACGCGCAATATCCAGAGATCCGCTATGATTTAAGTGCACTGATTGCGCGAGTGTAGCGTCTGAGATGTCTAGAAGGACCTCTTCGAGAGATGCAACGACAAGCTCTGTCATGAGTCCAGGCCGAGCGATCTCAACCTGGTGATTCCCTCTCCTTCCAGCCTGCAAGTCCTCCACTCGTTCATCTTGTGCGCGCCAAGGACTGCCAGAAAGTCAAAAGTGCACACAGGTCCGCGCATCCCATGTCAGCAGCGCGGCGCGCGGCAAGGCGCAAAATGAGGCGGAACACTGACCCTTTGTGTAGAATGCGATGCTCGGCTCGTTCCATTCCAACACGTTCCAATCCAACCTTGGACACCCCTCTCTTTCAGCTATAGCTCCTAATTCCCGGAACAGGGCTTTGCCGGCTCCTCTATTGCGCGCTTGAGGGGAGACGTAGAGATCTTCCAGAAAGAGAGAAGGCTGCGGATGCGCGTTGGAGGAGGCACGAGGGTCGAATGAGGGCAAGGTGCGCGAAAGAAGTTGCGGTGAGCCGCTGCTTCCATGCTTTGGCTATGATCGATCGAGAAGGCATTCGCTCAACTCACTTTGGCTGTCCAGGTCGAGAAGGTGTGGCAGTACTGCGGCGATATTGCGGAGGACGTGTGAGCGACCAAGCGACAACGCCAGTGATCAGCCGCCTTTCCGACCAGATCGATGGCTCAAATCAGCCCTCACACTCACAATGGCCATGCCGACGGCGTTTGCCTCAGCCCCTACGCCCCCCTCCTTGATCTCAGCTATAAGCGCACCTGCAAATCCCTTGTCGAAGATGTTCTCCTGCAGCAACTCGACCGTAGAATGATTCGACTCTGGCGCTTCTTCGTACTTTGCTAGGTCTGCTATGAAGCGCAAGAGGGTGGGAATGTCCGAGGGCTTTGCAGGGCGCACCACTAGGGAAGAGGAGGAGAAGGGCGCTGCACGAGATGAGGAGGGCGGGGGACCCGAGGCGAATGTGGGCGGCATGCTGATCAGGAAGATTGCGGCGTGCTCTAGTCTGGTACTGCGCAGTGTCGACGAGGTACAGTCAAAGTCACGAACGTGGCGCGACGATGAGAAAGTTGAAAGGTAGAAGAAGCGTGTCCCCAGCTCCACATGCTAAGCTCTCATCAGGAAGAAGTCGTCCACCACAACCTGCGCATGCATGCATGCATGCCCTGTATACTCATCAGCTCCAACCCACACTCGATAAGTAAGCGAGACTCGTGACTTTAATCCCGCAACCGCTGCGTGATCAGAGAACATTCACGTGATACGCTTGCACCTCTGACCTCTCATGACGGCCGCGGGCGTCCTGCAACAGTCTAGCTTGAGTGACTAAAGAGTCAGGAATGAGATCATGAGTCTTGGATTTGAGTCTTGGATCACGAGTCTTGTGACAAAGTCACAAGTCACGGTTTTGTGTATGAGTCACAAGTGACAAGTCACGTGAGTGTACACCGCGGTACACCGCGGCCGGTAGCATCACCATCCGCAAGCACCAGCACCAGCGCACGGCCAGCAGCAACAGCAGCAGCACGAAGCGGCCGCAGACACGCGCGCTCTGTAGCAACGGCCGGGATGCGCGCGCTGCTCTGGCATGTGCAGCAGGCGCCCACACCCACGCACAAGCACCACAGCTACCACCATCACCACGAATACCTTCTCATCTATACAACGAAGCTTGCGAGGTCGCCTTTGCTATCAGCGACAAATCATCGCTTCGACTACCACCTCGCTTACAACCATCGCACCCCGTGGCTTGCACGCCTACGCAGCTTCTCACCCGTACATTGCAAGCTGGTCGCATCCCTCGCTTGCAGACCAGGCGATTCACAACAAGCCTTTCGAGTGCAGGCGCCAGGTCCAGGCAGGATATCGCGTAGGCCCTCGCTTCTGCAGCCTCACCATCTCTAGCATACAGATTAAGCTAGGCACTCGACCACCCTTCTTCGAACGCACCTCTACCCTTTTCTCGACTGCGTTGCGCGTATCCAAAGCAGCTCCCACCTGCGCCTAGTTCCAGAAGACGCAATTATTGCTGCAGCACTAGCACACACATCAAGCCCTTTCAACAAAGTCATGGCCACATCTTCTGCATCATCAGCTGCCCAGGATGCGCAATGGCGAGCAGAAGTAGCAGCGCGGGTCGAAAAGGATGGACGGCCGCAGACTGAGGATGTGACAGCCACCAAGGGCAACGATTTCGAAGACTATTTCCTGAAGCGACCTCTGCTCATGGGCATCTTCGAGGCTGGCTTCGAACGGCCATCTCCGATTCAAGAAGAAGCGATTCCCATCGCTTTGACTGGTCGTGATATCTTGGCAAGGGCAAAGAATGGAACGGGCAAGACGGCGGCTTACGTCATTCCCTCTCTAGAAAGGCTCAAACCCGAAAAGAGTGCGATCCAAGCGGTCTTGCTCGTCCCTACCCGAGAGTTAGCCCTGCAGACTAGTCAGGTCGTCAAGACTTTGGGCAAGCATATGGGCATTCAGGTCATGGTCACCACCGGAGGAACCACTCTGAGAGACGACATCCTGCGTCTCTCTCAGACCGTACACATCCTGGTTGGAACTCCTGGGAGGATCTTGGATCTTGCGAGCAAAGGCATCGCTGATTTGACCCAATGCTCGACTTTCGTGATGTGAGTTCGGAAAGGGAGTTCGGAAAGGGAAGAAATCCGAGATCCAGTTGTCAATGCTGATGCGCTCACCCCACCTGCATGTAGGGACGAGGCCGACAAGCTGCTGTCACCCGAATTCACGCCTGTCATGGAGCAATTGCTTGGCTTGTTGCCCCGCGAGAGGCAAGTCATGCTGTTTAGCGCTACCTTTCCACTCATCGTCAAGGACTTTAAAGACAAGCACATGGTCAAGCCGTACGAGATCAACCTCATGGACGAGCTCACGCTACGAGGTGTGACACAGTACTATGCATTCGTAGAAGAACGTCAAAAGGTGCACTGTCTCAACACGCTCTTCTCGAGATTACAAATCAATCAGTCCATCATCTTCTGCAACTCGACCAACCGCGTCGAGTTGCTGGCAAAGAAGATTACTGAACTGGGTTACAGCTGCTTCTATTCTCATGCAAAAATGCTTCAAGCGCACAGAAATCGGGTGTTCCACGATTTCAGAAACGGAGCTTGCAGGAACCTGGTCTGCTCGGATCTCCTCACTCGAGGTATCGATATTCAAGCCGTCAACGTGGTCATCAATTTCGACTTTCCCAAGAACGCAGAGACGTATTTGCATCGCATTGGTCGTAGCGGTCGTTTTGGTCACCTGGGTCTAGCCATCAACCTGATCACCTATGAAGATCGCTTCAATCTGTATCGTATCGAGCAAGAATTGGGAACAGAGATCGCTCCCATCCCACCCACCATCGACAAACGCCTTTACGTTGCTCCTTCGCTCATCACTGAAGATGACGGAAAGAATGCTAACGGGGCCAAGGCCCACCAAAACGGAGCGCCCGTCATCCCTCCTACGCAGAGGGCAATGCACCAGGCCATCATTCCCCAGAGTCAAGACTTCACTCAGAGCTCGGGAGGTAGGAGAGGCGGAGGCGGCGGCGGTCACGCGAGCGCTAGTGCAGCTGCAGGTGCTGCGCCTTCGCAGCCAGCAGCATGAGCGGACGGGTCGATTGCTGCGTCTGCCCAAGGTCTATGTACTCCAACTCTTCCGCCAATCGCCTTCTCCGCTCTTTCCCACCTCCTCCTCATGCACCAGCATCCCACTGTCACGCCTGTGTGGAGCACCAATGCTTTCCCCACTCAGCTCGAGTCTCGACTCCACCCTTCGAACCCCTCTCGCCTTCAAGCTATTGAAAGAGGTCATCGATCGCCAAATTCAAAAGCCATCGATGACCGCCAAAGTGTATACGTGTACTACTAGACTGCTTCCTCTCGACCCATAGCCGGCAGCCGATCATTCGCCTACGCGCCTTATCGACTCTCGACGACTCACGACACTGACCGGCCATCCTCTGCGGCCACTCCACTTCCTGATACGTGTGCTACTGCTGCGACCTTCTAGTCGTACGGTGCTCGTGGTCAATCCGCCGACCGACGCCATAAACTCACACACGCGCTTGTCCATGAGTCCTGAAGATCGCACTGCGCCTTCATCCTCAAAGTAGCCATACTTCCGACGAGGACGGTTCTTCGTGGGACCGTTCTGACCAACCTTTCCGCCATCCACCACCGCGCTTGGCGCTTCTTTTGAATGCCGAGCAGCCAGCCACTCGATGCCAAGTCCCTAGCTACCGGTTTATTACCAGGTTGCGGACACCCCCAAGGTCGTCTGACACAATCTTCTCGCCCTCGAACGACCTATAAGCTCTCTACACTGAGCGCCTCCTCCTCCCTACCTTTCGAGCATCAGTCTCGGATCCCCTCCCGTCTGTCGTGCACGCAAGCACTCCGCTACGGTGTGCGCTGCACTTGCTCCGGCTTCACACTTCCCCTCTGCTCCACCCGAATCACCAACACAACAAAACACTCTCCGCCCCTCCTTTGCCACCATTCCAAACCCACTTCCCAGCTCTCCTCATCGTGCAAAGCTCCACCATCTCTTGCTTTGCCCCCACACCTATGCCACACACCACCTATGAGAAATAACTGAGACTTCACCTGAAGCATGGAAGCCTGCGTTGCTCAATGTGCGACTCGTGCCGTGAGGGCCAAGCTGTAGTTCCGCGAGGAGATGCCCGATCCTACGCACGATTGAATAGTGTCAAGGACAATCGTGATGTCGATTGCGCTGGACGAAACATCTTGGCTGCTGGACTCTCTGCTTCTGCGCCATTTCTGTTTACAGGGACTTGTACCTGTAGCGGCACCTTTTAGGTCAACGACGTGAAAGAAAGAGGTGCGCAATGCCCATTCATTTCAGCCTTGACCTTCAAATGCTGTGAGTCTCTGCAATGTACTTGATCTTCGGACGCCAGGACTTTGCTATTGGACACTATTGTATCACTGCCAGCGTAGATTGGACCGTTGCGTCGGCTCGTGCCGCTATAGCCGTGCGCTTGCATGGCGATTGCATGGCTCGATCGCGAGCCTAGCAAAGCACTCTGCGTGACTTTATTTCGTACGTGCCGTGAGCATGCTGGATCACCAAACGGGAGCAAATCCCATCCATACACGATTTTGAATTTTGAATTGCATCAGCATCTAATTTGGGGAGAGAGGCGGAGGAGTGTTGGGGAGGGGGG